AGAGTGGAAGAGGTATATTGGGTTTCTATTTTTGGGGGTATTGTTGACAAGAGGAATTGCTCCGATTATTGTTTTAATGTTGTATGGCGTTGGCTATGCACAGTATATATGTGAGTGTATGAAAATGAAAAAATGGAAAATAAAAAACATTATCTCTGAAAATGGATACAACTACAGGCATACTGAAGGCTAAATGCCTCTATTCTAATCAAGTCAGTATTGTCCTTGACTGTCAGATAGATAGATTGCAATGCTGGTAGCTTCCTGCTTGTTGACTGTTACCTAATTGTGTCAATGTACACCTGTAAGTACGCACATGTGAAAGTGCCTTTACATTTTTAGAGAAGCTGCTTTGGCTTTGCTTCTTATACTATTGCATTTTTATATTCATGTTCTGTTGCTTTTGTTCTGCTGTGTTCCCACAACATTACTTCCATTCGGAAACAAAAAAACAATTACAATTACAATTGCACAGTTCTGGAAGCAAAAGAAGAAGAAAATGTACTCTTAAGCTGTTGTGACAATGCACTTTGATGTATAGTACTGTACATTTTGGCATGTACCATATACTTCCAAAATCGTTTCTCATAGTGTAACTTTATAATAAATAAGGATAGTTCTGTCAGAGTTAAAAAAAGAGAGAGAGAGAGAGAGAATGGTGCTCAACATTGATTTAAACCCCGTGCAAGGAATGGGATATGCCAGCAGGATACCCACCCAGGTATTTCTCAAACTTGGCAACGTTAAGAGGTGTGGACTTTCAACCCACATAGTCCCCCTAGCCAGCACGGGGAATTCTGGGAGGTGGAGTCCATGCAAAGTTGCCAAATTTGAAATGCACCGGTCTAAATAAATATTTCACCATCAGCTAAGCCAAAGTATTTCCTAAATGGGTTAGTTCGGAAGCGTCAAGTATCTCCTTTCTTTCTAGAAAAGAATAAGATTATAAATTTTGTTTTCCAAAGGCGAAGTTTTTGCCGGAGACTTTTGCTCCCGCCCTCTTAGAATACCTAAATAGACCGTCTCTCTTGGCCCCATCGAATAGATCCCATAAATTAAAACCCTGATTTGACCTTCTTTGGGTTTCATAATCCAGCATGATAGAAAGAAAGAGAGAGAAAAACATCTGCCAAGGACTTAACCCCCAAAGTCATTAATTTTGCTTCCCTTGTAAATAAAGTTAAGAGATCAAATCTAAGGATTAAGATTCAGCAGAGGCCATTTTTAAAAAGAATTCTAATAAACCGCTTAGCCTTCAATGGATTTCCCTGGATGGTTTTGAGAGACAGCCTGCTGGGGCGATCAAAGATTTGGCCAGGCAGAGACCCCTGTCCAAATCATCCATTGGCCCTCAGACCTATGGGGTGATTTTGGACCAATTCTCCTCTAAGCTTCAGCCCCGTCCATCCTTTTGCAATTATGGGGAGGGAATAAAGAGACAGAAGCTTCCAGGATCTCTTGGGGCACCTGAAGGTTTACATCGGCTGAAGAAACACATGAAGTGTCTTCCTTGGGGAGGGTAAACCATGAATTGGGGGAGAGGGGGCTGCAGTAAGAACATCGGGGACTATCTAACAAAATGAAATTCAATGGTGAAAAAAGCAAGGCTCTACATTTAGGCAAGAAAAACAAAATACAGTATAGGTGGTACCTTGCTCAATAGTAGTAACTGTGAGAGGGATCTTGGAGTCCTAG